CCTCCATGCCACTTGCAGGCCTGCTGTGCCATTTATTTTAAGAAAGGGCCTCCCTATGCTACCATCACCTGCTTCAACCTCCAAGGTGCTGGGATAACAGGGTACACCACTGTGTCTGGCTGTTAGGGACATTTTTAGAATAATGTCATTGTCTTTGATTTTTGCCAATTTGGCTATGATACATCTTGGAGAGGATCTTCTTGTTATCTTATTTGGTGTCTTTTGTATTTCCTGGGTTTGGATGTCTATATGCCTCTCCAAGTTTTGACAATTTTTTTCAGCTAATATTATAATATTATGAAAGACACTTTCTATGCCCTTATCCATCTCATCACCTTGTGGAATAAATATTACGTGGATAGTCAGCTGTCGAAGGATGTCTAGGATATCCCGTATATTGTCCTGATTTTTAATGGTTGTTCTTTTATTCTTTTCAGTTGCCTGACTAACCTGGAGATTTTATCTTCCAAATCAGGAATTCTTTCTTCTATGTGGTTTAATCTGCTGTTGATATTTTCAAGGGAGATTTTTTATTTTCTCTATCATATTCTATATCTTCAGAAGTTGTGTTTTATTCTTTTTCAGGGTTTCTATTTCTTGATGGTCTCCTCTTTCAAGTCATGAAAGGATTTTCTCACCTTCTGGAATTGGTTGTCTGCTTTATCTTGCATCTTATTGAATTTTGTTACAATGGATATTCTGAATTCATTTTCTGACATTTCTGTGGTCTGAGGCTGTTTTTTTGTTTGTTTGTTTGTTTGTTTTTGCTATAGGAGACAGAAAGAGACAGAGAGACAGAAAGTGAGAAATCACCCTCTAGGGGAGATGGCCATGCCACCCTTCAGGGGGAATGACCATGCCACAGTCAATTCTTCTCCATTCTCCTCTTTTGATTTTCTGCACACATGCGCTCTGCATGATTTTCAAGCCACTGATTCTGAGACTCGAGTCATGTAGTCAGCCATGTAGCACCCAGCCACTTTAACCTCCGTGCCACCTGTTGACTCTTGGTAGCTGTTTTTATAAATTATATTTCAAAAGGTGAAGTTTCAGTGAAATAAGAAGGAAAATAAATACTTCAATGTTTATTCTCACAGGTATTCTTCTGCTCTTTCCTCCTTTCAATCAATACCTGAAAACACAATGGTGAATAAGAGATGGTCTCACCCCACCTGAAGGAACTCTGAGTAAACAGGCCAGGCTGGGGCAGGAAGGGCTGTGAGAGAGAGGGGCACTAGGTAGCACTTCTGGAAAGCAATTGGAAAGAGGGTCATCCCTGCCTCCTGGATGTGGAAGTCTTCCTAGGGGAGACAGTGCCTGAGATGAGCCCCAACATATGAAGAGGAGTTATCCAGGGAAAGTGGATACAGCAGTCTAGACAGCAGCATCTGCGAGTCAGTCCATAGAAGTGGGTTAATAACTAATTGCTACCCCCTCCTGGAACTATATGTTGGTTATATTGTCTTGGGTCTCTTCACTTTCAGTCTTTTTAAGTGACTCAGAAAAGGCAGCCGGGGGTAGAGCAGAAGGCACAGACTTTGGAGTGGTCACCTGTAGATATTGGGATTGTGGGGATTTTTAAAATGACCTTTATATAGTTTCCAAATTGTCTAAAAGATTATATTTATTACTTTTGAATGCTACTTTAAAAATTACCTTTAAGAAGAATCCGCCAAGAAAGAAGAATCTTCTAGACAAGCCAGGCAAAAATAAAAATTAAAAAAAGAATCTACTTGCTTTATAATATTGAAAATACATCTGTGTATTACTGCATATGTAGAGACAACATGAAATTTGATACTATGAAGGCCTGTAATTGGCACTGTAGTGACCTTTTTACCCCACTCCTCCAACACCCTTTGATTTCCACACAGAACAAAATATTATTTTAAGTGCTGACTTCTATTGGTCCAGTCAGCCAAGTTATAGACAATGTTAATTTTTAGATGGACATTGTGCTAGTGTGCTTCTTTCCCCATGTATTACAGATAACCCCACAGATGGTGGTAAAGGTGCTCCATCTGAGTGACGCTGCGCTCTGACGTCCTTGGTTTCTCTCCTGATTTATTTGTCCAGCTGCAGACGTGGTGGTGTGAGCAGAATAGAGCACAGGCTGCCCCGATCAGAGCAAGGTCTTCCCTCTGCGTAGTTGACTGGCATGTGCACAGCCTGAGCACGCGATCCTCTACCTTTCACAGAGAGTTGCTAAACAATCATCCACCTGCGATTCCCACCTGGAGGATGAGAGCATGGGCTTTTAGCCTAGACTCCATGTGCCACTTCTCTGGGGACTCAGATTTCTCACTCAACGAAGAGAACAGAGTTTAGACAGAAGGGCAAAAGGTATGGATTCTGCTTGAAGTCTTGGTTTTTATCTTCAGATCTACTGTCCCTTTCTCTACCCATCTCTGTGTACCAAGAGACAACTCCTATG